AGGAAAGAGGCTGGCAGGTTGTGCAGCCCCAGGAAGCAAAGGGAGGGGAGGGCAGGACCAGGCCTAGAGGGCTCCTGGGGACCACAAGAACGAACTGGGTTGGTCTGGGTGCAATGGATCAGCAAACAGTGGTGGTTCCAGGCTGAGAAGTCAGCCCCAGTGTCCAGGAAAGAGGCTGGTGTGTTGTACACCCCAGGGAAGCAGCATCTTTTATTTCTTAATTTCTCCTTTGACCCACTCATTGTTTAGGAGTGTGTTGTTCATTCTCCATGAGTTTGTGTAGTGATTAGGGCTTTGTCCGGTGTTGATTTTGAGCTTTATTGCTTTGTGGTCTGATAGAATGCATGGAAATATTTCAATTTTTGTATTTGTTGAGGTTTGTTTTGTGGCCCAGTATGTGGTCAGTTTTTGAAAATGTTCCATGGGGTGCTGAGTAGAAAGTGTATTCTTTGATGTTTGGGTGGAATTTTCGAAAGACTTAGGTCCATCTGATGTATGATATCATTTAATTCAGACGTCTGTTTATTCTTTGTCCAGTTGACCTAATGGAGACAGTGGGGTATTGAAGTTCCCTACTACTACTGAGTTGGGGTTAATCTGTGTCTTAAAGTCCTATAGTGTTGTTTTTATGAATTTGGGTGCACCAGAATTTGGTGCATATATGTTAAGGATTGTAATATCTTCTTGGTTAACTGTTTGTTTGATCAGACTGAAGTGACCCTCCTTATCTCTCTGATTCATTTTAGTTTGAAGTCTGTCTTGTCAGATATTAGAATTGCAACCCCTGCTTGTTTCTTAGTGCCATTTGCTTGGTATATTCTTTTCCATCCTTTCACCTTAAGGTAGTGCCTGTCCTTAAAGGTGGGATGGGTTTCTTGCAGACAATAAAGAGATGGATTTTGTTTAATTCATTCACTTAGCCTATGTCTTTTGACTGGGGAGTTCAGTCCATTGATATTAAAGGTTATTATTGAAAGATGTGTATTGGTTTCCATCATTTTGATTGCTATTTGTGTCTTCTGTGTAATTTTGTGTTTCCTAGATTATAACTTTTCTTTCATTGCACCTAGGGTATAGTTGTTTCTCTCTCTGCTCTCTGTGTTGCTTCAAGGATTCTTTGAAGGGCTGGTTTTGTGGACATGTATTCTTTCAGGCTGTTCATGTCACAGAAGGTTTTTTTTTCCCTGTCAAGTATAATAGACATTTTTGCTGGGTACAGTATTCTGGGCTGGCATCTATTGTCATGTAGAACTGGAAATAACCTTGGTACAGGCTCTTCTGGCCTTCATAGTTTGCATTGATAAGTCAGCTATTCTGATGGGCTTTCCTTTGGATGACTTGTTTTTCTTTTGCTGCTTTCAGTATCCTCTATTTGTTCTGTACATTTAGTGTTTTTACTATGATATATCGTGGGACTTTTTTTTTCTGAACCTATTTGGTGTTCCTTTTGCTTCCTGTATTTGTATAGGGATGCCTTTACTTAATTTTGGGAAATTCTCTTCTACAATCCCATTTAAGATGTGGTCAACACCATTAACCTGAAATTCTTCTCATTCTTCTATTCCCATTGTTTGTAAATTTGGTCTTTTCATGTTGTCCCATATCTGTTGCATATTCCATTCCTGTGTTTTTTAAATTTTCCATCATCTTTGCTTGAGCGGTCCAATTCTTCAACTTTATCCTTCAGTGTTGATCTTTTGTTTTCCATTTCATTCATTCTAGCAGTGTGGCTTGCCCCTGTTGTTTCAAGTCGGCTTACTGAGTTTTGCACTTCCTTCTTCATTTCTGCCTGAGTTTTCTTCAATGTTTCCATCTCTTTTGTAAATTCATTCAGAAGTTTATCCCTATCTTCTTTTAGTTCTTTTGTTTGTTCGTGTGTTCTTTAAATTCGTTGAATTCCTTGATCGTGTTTATGATTGCTCTTTTAAATTCAGTTTCCTGTGTTATCTCGAGGGGGTTCTCCTTGTAGAACTCTTCTACAGAATTGGTGGAGTTTGGTTGGGACATAGTGTTTTGGCTTTCCCTTTTATTCTTTCATTGTGTTTTTGGCGTGTGAATTTCTTTTGTTGTTTATAATTCTTATATGAGAATTAAGTTGAAGTATGCTTCTGTTTGTATTATCTGGGTGCCTAGATCCCTTCTTTATTGGTTATGTAAAACTTGGAACAGGGTTCAGGTTCTGTCAGGTTTAATATGGTGGAACTGATGGCTTCAGATCAGCTATTCAGGAGTACCCACAGAAGCCCAATTCAGATTCCAGTCAGGTACACTTAGGCTTCCTTCACCACAAGGAGGCAGGATCTGGGTGTGCTCAAGCAGTCCCCTGCATTCTCAACCCTATGTCAGAGGGAGGCCAGAGGGATGCAAGAGCTGGGCACTCCTTGGCAGTCTCCTGAGATCCCAGCCGCTGTACAGATAGAGGTCTGAACCCACCCTCTCATGCTGTCTGCTAGGATCTCAGCCTTAGTCTACCAAAGCCAGATCTGCCCTGGGGTCTTGGGAGGGCCCTCACAAAATCCCAGGTAGGGGGTTGGGTATGGCACAATTAAGGGAAAGCTCACCACCTCGTGGAGGCAGGATCTATGGGCTCTCAGGCAGTCCCCTGGGTTCTCAGGCCCTCTGCTAGATGGAGGCCAGAATTAGGCACTGTCTGGCGGTCTCCTGAGATCCAAGCCTCCTACACTGATGTAGGTCGGACCCCACCCTCCTGTACTGATTTCTTTATTCCATTCAGCTGTAGGTTTGTGCTCTCTTGGAATTGACTCAGGAGTTAGTAGTGGTGTCCTCTTTGATTTCTTTGAGCATTCTTTTCATTTTTCTCATAAATTCTTTGTCTGAGATGTCTAATTGCCTTTCATTGGGAGCCATTACTGTGGGATTAGAAATTTTTGGAGGAAAGATGTCTTGGTTTACATATTTCTTGTGTTGCTCGTATATATATGTATTAAGTTGTTGGTTGGGTTCTTTTCATTAATCAACTGTATTCTTTCAGTGGAAGTGTTTGCAATGTTCAAGAGGGACTATGTTATAGTAGGATAAATTGGAACAATAGATTAGCAATGGCCCATGTGGAAGGATAATGTGCAAAGTCATGAAGCACTCCTTATTTTTATGCAACCTCTACATGTAGGATGAATGCATCTCTCAACTCTTACAAAATTGCCTTATGCAATAGATGGTGATTAATACAGAAACCCTCAATTGGCCAATGTGCAGAAAACAAGAGGCTGCAGAGTGCTTATCCCTGAATAGGATATCTGTCTCAAACCTCTGTCTCCCAAGGCTCAGGGATAATTGCAGAAAAAGAGATGGAAAGATGGTAAGAGCCAAGGGTGGCAGATGGCTACAAGGAAATAGTTTTTGTGATAGCTTGTCAGTTAATCATACGAATTCACAGCAATGGTGACCAATACCATTACAGTAAGTAGAACCTATGCATGGAAGTGGGAGAGGCCACCTGGTGAGACAGAAAGCAAGAAACCCCAAAGAGGCTAGGCTAGTTCCACCTTCCTGTAAGGGAACTGTTCCACTCCCACCAGACCTGACCCACTCCTGTGGGTCGTTAATCTATTCTGAAGGGCAGAGCCCTCTTGACCTAGTTAGCTTCCATTAGGCCCCACCTCTTAAATTTTCCACCATCTCAGCAAGATCTCACTGAGGACAAAGTTTCAAGCACCTGTACTGTGGGGGTAGTGAACCATAGTAAGGGTATATAGTAGGTCTGTACCTACATCCAAGGAGAGGTAGGGTTACAATTTGTGTAGATTTCCACCTCTCTCAGATATTACTCAATAGTGTCCTGAACAGTTGTAATAATTGCTAATACTGTTAGGATAATTCAACTTTAACATGACAAACTCCATCTATTTTCCCATTAATATTTTTTTTTAGTTTAAAATATTTGGTATATTTAAAGAGCCCATCTGACCCTCCAAATTAAGATATACCCCTATATTTTCTTATCAAACTACAGTATTACCCTTTCATATTCACATAGTTACATCACTTAAGAGTTTGTATTCGTCGGTACTGCCAGGCAGTACTTTTTTTTTTCCTTCTTTGTGGGTAGTCAATTGCTCCAGCACCAGACTCATAATTGATCTTTATCTATTCAATTAGGTTAAAAACCAGCCTGGCATTTTTATTTTTTGGTATCATTCACCACACCCTCCTGTGTTAAACTGTGCCCCAGTGCCTTCATTCTTCTCGAAGTGCGCCCAGACTCTGCTCTTGTTCTTTCCATACTGCATGTTGACTTTTTTCGATCTAAATTGTAAATATTTTATACAAAAGACATCATTCCATTCACTTCTTCATCCTCAACAGATTTTCTACTTTAATCTGGAATTTAACTGGGTCTTGGTAGGTAGGAACATCCCTGTGGTGCAAGCTATGTACCCCAGGCAACTACAATACACGTTTAGGTGGCAGCCTAAGCCTCTAAAGACTGAGCTGTCGCTCCAGGTCCCAGATATTTAATGAATAGGAACCAGTCATCATCTCTGCCCTCTTCTATGGGACGATTTGTGACTTTCTGGGTGGGGCTAACAGTGGGGTTTATCAGGCCCGGCATCTTTGGACCTGTGGCCTGGTCTTGCTCTTTCAGGAGGGATTCGAGGAGTCAGCGTTTTCTGGACGGACCGCGTCCTAGGGCGGGGATGGGCCCCGGAAGATGTCCGCTGTGCTCTTCGCTTCCTCCAGGTACCTTGACGCCCAATAAATAGCAGCCGGTGGCGATGCCCTCGGGAGGCACCCGTGTCCTAACGTCCTATACGGTCGGTACATCAGACACCCGCTCCCGCGCTTCTACGCAGCAGCATTCTGGAGACTTCTAGAACCTCGCGGGCCTCCGCTGCTCGATAAACCATACCGGCCAGGCGGGACCCTAGGTCGCCGTCAGGTCCAGGGCTGGCCGCAACGGCCTGGTGCGGGTGACCTCAGCTGGTGACACAAACGCCCCCTGGGAGGACTCCCGGCGCGCGGAGGCCAGCAGGGGGTCCGCCCGCCGCCCGCGCGCGCCGGAACTGCATTTCCCATAGGTCGGAGCGGCGCCGCCGTGCGCGCCCGGGACACCCGAGCCCCGCCTAGGCCTCGGGGCCAGGCCCCCTCCCGACTGTCTCGCCCGCACCCCCACCCGGCCGTAGCGCCCCGGCCGAGCCGCAGAATCTTTGAGCGGCGGCAGCGGCGCGGGCGGGATGGCGAACCTGGGCCGCTTGCTGTGCGTGCTGGGCCTGCTGCTGTGCGGGCCCACGAGCCCCGGGCTGTCCAGACCCAACAAACACGGCCCCAAGAAGCCCATCATCGGTAAGGAGGCCGGGGGTGCGGGCGGCGGGCTGAGACCCGCAGTGCTCGTCCGTCCCCGCTCTCGGGCAGGCTCGGGAGGGAGAGCGCCCGAGGCCCTTAGCTGTGCCCCAAGGACCCCGCGGGCTGGCACGGGTCGCAGCGAGTCTGTTCTGCTCTCCCGGCGATGGCAGCGTTGCGGGGCGGGAGGAAGGCGCAGCCCCACGCTGTCGCCCGCTGCAGCCTAGCGAGCTCCGGTAAGGTCCACACAGCTCAGGCAAACTCCACGAGTCGTGGTTTTCACGCGGGAAAGGATGAAGCACACTTGGGGTCCATTAAAAAGCAGAAAGAGAGGCGCTCAGGTGAGAATAAAGCATACTGGAGAGCGTGGTGAGGACTTCCCAAAGCAGAGTCCCGCTTCAAGTGTCCAAGTGGTGACTCTGGACAGCTTTTGGACGCTTTGGGCGTTTAATGGGTCAACAGGTTTCCAAGGGACTCTGTCCTCCACTGCCACTGTTCTCTTCGGTAGCGAGAATTGAGATTATAGGATGCATGCAGAGGTGCGTTGGATAGGATAAAACTAGGAGCCACTAGGGTTGCACAAGGGCGAAGACGTGTCTTTTGCTGTAAATAGTGTTTCTGATGAGAGTCTTAGAAAACTCAAGGTTTACAGCAGGGAAACGAGAAGGGCGTTAAGCAGACATTAATGGATTGGAGTTCTTGATTCTTAGCTGGAGCGAGGCTTCAACCAGACGTGGTGCGAGAGGCTCATTTTCCATCTCACACCGTCACCATTTTCCGTGTCTTTCTACCGCTGCTTAGAAACTCTCTAAATGAGTTTTACTTAATCAGATTTCTTTGGGTGAGGACATACTTCAGGATTCGATCCATTAAATATAAAAATGAAATAGGTAAGACGTCATCGTGCCTTGAACTTTGTCCTTTTCAGCATCAGGAGACGGTAGTAGCTGTTAGGCTCCAAATGTCAATTCCATTTCAAGTAAGATACAACTTTTTGTTTCTAGCACATTATGCTTTGAAGAGAGTAAAATTGGTTTGCATTCACACCAGATATTTAAGATAGGAAAAACTAACAAGAAGTCAGCCTGTACTTAAAATTTGTCAAATTTATGGGTGGACAGTTAACTCTCTGAGGGATTATGCCATTCATACTGTGTTTTTTCCTTCCACAAAACTGAGCACTGTATTCTGTAACTAAACACAAACCGGATAATTGTTTTATGTATTCAGGAGTGGCCCAGTGTTCAGTAGTAGTATTTGGAACCCAGAATGTCTTATTCCATAGCTATTTCCAATGATGGTTAGATTTTTCAAGGTGAAGTATGAATATGCAATGAATTGTATCTTGTGGGTCCAGGGAAGAGGGTAAAAGGAAGACAGGGGATTCATTTATGTTTCCTAGAATTGAGGCAACTCTAATTTGAATATGGAGAAAAGGAGTATGCTTTTCATCACCCTGATCACTTACATATTTTTACATTTTGATTTATTATTAATTTGTGTGTGTGTGTGTGTGTGTGATTGCCCTCTGCATAAATGAAGGTCTGAAGACAACTTTCAGAAGTCAGTTCTCTCCATCATGTGGGTCCTGGGGATCCAGCTCATATTTCAGGTTCTTGGGCAAGTGTCATTATCTACTGAGCCATCGCACAGGCCCCATCTTGATCAATTAAGACAACATAATTGACTGAGTACCTAGTATGTATAAACCATTACATTATGGAGCACAAAGGATTCAAGACAAGGAAACCACACAAGTTGTGAGATGCTTTAATGTGTATGTGACACTTTTTGTCACAGGCTGAGGGACAGGGCATACAATCTGAAGTCTCTCTGCCCAGGAGTGGGACGAGTGAGTGGGGTGGGGGATGATAGTATAATTTAATTGCCTTTTAGTTTTTTGGTACCTGTGTTCTGTGTTGCCCTGTGCCCTCCTTTGTGCTCCTACTCTGGATGCCCTGTGTCATTCAATCTCCCACAGCCCTCTTCTTTACTCTTCTTTTCTTGGACAAGACTCATTTTCTATCCTGAAGATGATCTTACCTACTGGCAAGGAGAAAAACATTCTTCCTGGGCACATTTTGACATTTGACATACATTAGTGAGTTCCTGATTCATGCCACTTACTAAGAAGCTGAGAGTACAGGTGTGACTAATATAACTGCCTGGTGGTGTGTCCTACCGAGATGGTTATGAAATACTGAGTGATATAGGCATAGATACTCACTGGCAGATAGCATCTTGCTGCTATTTAAATTTTTAGTGCCAGGGATGGAACCCAAGGCCTTCTGCATGATAAGCATATGCTAACATGGTTGGCTGGACACCAGTAGCATGCTGGTCTTGGGTTTCATTGGTAAGACTAGATCAGAGAGGTGAGTGGGACAGAACATGAGGTCACAAAGTTTATGAAGTTCAGGAACCCCTGAGGTGTATAATGAAGGTGGTGGCTGCTGCTGGCTCTGTCCCATGAACTGTTGTCTTCTCTTCTCCTGCATGTACTTCCAGTCAGATGGACTCCTTGCAGGGTTACAGGCTATCTCATGACTTTTGCAGGGTACTGTTCCTTTGCCCTGAATTGCTCCTCTTCCAGATGAGGGTGTGTGGTTTACTGCCTCACCTGTGTGAAATCTTGGCTTAAATACCATATTCTACCTTCCCAGCGAGGACTTGCCTCCCTGTTTAAGAGATGTTGTAAATGAGATACTTTTTTCTTTTCTTTACTTTTTAGCACACACACCACCCATCATACTATATATTGTGCTTAAAAAAATTTTGTTTGTCTTCCCTTTCTCTCCCACACACTAGCATGAAAGCCCACAGGATGAGAATTTTTCTTCGTTCCTGTCTCCGTGTCACCTAGTTCCGTGCCTGGCATGCAGTGTGAATGAATGAAAGAAAGGGATGGTGATATGATCGGCTTTGTTTCCCTGTGGAGAGCTGGCTGTAGAGTTTCTTTGGATAGGCCTTTTAATAATTTAGAATGGGGTTGATGAATGTTGGTCACTTAGATTGCAAAGGTGTTAGAGAGGTACGGATGAAAGTCATTTCTACTCTTGCTTTGGTAGCAAGGATACAGCTGTGTCTTTGTGTGTGGGGAAAGAGGGTGGCCATTTTATAGACTTAGGAAGTTGTGAATGGGTGGCCAAAGTGTGAAGGAAGTTAGTGCTTTTATAAACTTTGTTTGGGAACTTATTTGGCCTCCCTCATGTGGTAAGAGAAACATGGTACCTGAAACTTAACTCTGATCTGATCATCCCTCCCCACTGCTTTCCCAAGATCTATGGAGGATGCAAGTACATAAACTGAAAAACTAAAGTAGTCATGTTTGTGCTGTGCCTTGATTCAATTTAAGCAAGAGATAAATGAATTTACTTGACACTACAGCTTTTTTTTTTAAATTTAGGAATATTAATGCAAAAATGCCAGTCTAAGGCAATGAAAGAGCTGGGAAAATACTACATTGCTGCATCCTATGTGAAGTATTTAGAGTCTGCGGGTGCAAGAGTCGTACCCATAAGGTATGCTGAGTGTTTGTTTTCCTGTGGATATAAGATTGCTTTTTTTAATTGTTTCTAAAATCAATGTGTTCTCTCCTGTGATTACATCCTTTAAATGTAGAGTGACATTGCATCTGATGTTTGCCACAAACCTAATACCTATAGTCTTTCATTAAACTGTTTAATGTGTGAAGCTCTGTGTATCTATGTCATTGAAAGTGTGTTATATGCCTCTTAGCACTGAAAATGAAGTGATACCTTCCTTTTTTTTTTATCTCAACTTGAATTTTATTTGTTTTTTTTTTTCCCATAGTTACATTTTAACAGAAGTGTTAAAACAAAGCACTCAGGAGGCAGAGGCAGGCGGATCTCTGTGAATTCAAGGCCAGCCTGGTCTACATAGTGAGTTCTAGGACAGCTGGGGCTGCAGGGAGACCCTGTCTCAAAAAGACCAAAAAAAACCCCCCCACATATTAAAGAAGTGCCATATGATCTTTTGATAATCTAGTATACAAATTTTAAATTAGGATAAGCATCTCTATCCCCTCAAACCTTAGTGTTTATTTACAATGAAAATATTCAAATTTAAATATTCAAATTCAATATTCAAAATTCAAAATTTCTCCTAGCCTTTTGAATAATATAATAAATTATAATTGTCTATAACTACCTTACTGTCTAATATGACAATAGAACTTTAAAAAATTATTTAATAGCCACATGATTAGAAGAAGCATTTCATTACAGTATTAACAGTCAATAACAATTTCCAGAGCAAAGATGCATCTCTTTCAAAAGTGGCTGTAAATTTGTAGGTTCACAGTTGAATTCATAGTTATGCAATATTGAACTCAGTATAAACCCTCTAAGACATAAAATTGAATGAGGTTTTAACCTTTAAAAAAAGATCTCCATTTTATTTTAAAATATACTGTTTTGTACAGAAAAACTCATTTTTAATGCTACTAGCACTTAGATGTTTGCACGTGCATCTGTAATCTCTATGGTGATACCTTCCTTTATCCCAGAAATGATGCTCCTCATAGCAATACAAAAATAGTAACAGAATCTAAAATTTAGCGAGCTTTCCCCCTAATGCTAGGATCAGGAGCACTTAGGAGTGAAGGAGATGTTTTTACAAGATGATTATTGAGGATACCTTCACATCTAGTAGAGGTTTCTTAGTGACTGCTGTAGTAGTGATACTTCTGTATAGGTGATAGGTATTGCAGTTTTAAAGGTGCTGTGTTTGGGGCTAGCAGGATGGCTCAGCTGTCAACAGGTCTTGCTGCTTTTCCAGAGGACCCTGGTTTAGTTCCTAGCACCCACGTCTTGCTCTCAACCACCTGCAACTCTACCTCCAGGGAATCCAATTCCCTCTTTGATCTCTGCAGGCACCTGCACATGGAACACACACACACACACATACACACACACACACACACACACACACACATACACACACACACACACACACACACACACATACACACACACACACACACA